CAAATATTGAATCATGAATCGGAAGACATCTAGAGAAGCAAAGTTTATTTATTTACCTGTCTCATTGTTGGATTTGTAAGAATGAGCTGGATTGTCGGGTCTTACATTCCTTATTACCTAGCCTGGAAGAATTGAGAAAGAAGCTAAATTCACTGGTTTTCTCTAAATCGAAAAAGGAAAACATAACAACTACTTAGAATCTAAGCATCTAATATGTCTTTTTCAATGGTTTGCCTTGTTGACCTGTTGGACACATGGGTAGAGTAAATTTACAACACGTTACATAGCTATTAAGATATTTTTTGTACATTACACATGTAGCATACCTTGTGAAACCGCCGGGAGGCTCCTGATTTTAGGATCATATTTGAGACCATCTGATATATTTCCATTGCAGTATCACTCCTGCACCTTTTCCATTGTATCCCTTTGAGAATTGAGTTCATATAGAGGTTCCCTGGTCTGATAATCAAAGATAAGCGTAGAACATTAAATATATATGGAAGGTGACATACCTGGTCTGATAATCATAACCATGAAACAAGTATATGTCGATCTATATTCACACGGTTCCCCATCTCTATCTTTTTTAAAGCTTTATGTTTCCTCTCTTTTTCTTCTCCAAACTCCGCTACAAGTTCATGCTCTGGTTTTTGTTTCTTTCTCTACCTGAGGCTCGTTCTTTGGATGCACAACCATCTTATCCTCCTGATCCATCGCTGCTTCACCTGCCTGAGTCTTGAAATTAACATTCAATAAAACTCCAAAAGTTGCATCACCATCTAGTATTTCAATAAAAAAATTTGTAATTTTGATGGTGTCTATGGATCTCCTACCAAATACTTGCTTGGATTGATGCCAAGCCCCTTCGTATAAACGTTGATAACATCCTTGAGCTGATTCAATCTTAAGTGAACATAACTGGGTAATCTGAGAATCAATGCTCTGCTATAACAAAGTTTATATATGGGAAGAGGAGGAGAACAGAGAAATAGAGAAGAATAACCTAACGACAATAAAGAAAAGGAACAATGTTTCATTTTTCAATTCGGGGAAGGCGAAAAGATCAAAGTAGAAGGAGATGTCGATTGGAGAGATTTGTTTTGCACAAATTTAAGTTTTTTCTTCTGAATAAATCGATTACTGGAATTTAAGTTTTGTGGAACATACTAAGAAAGGAGAACTGCTGATGTGGCTGCATGAGGGAGAGGCAAAAACTCTCCCATTATATATATAGTTTCGAATTCAATTAATTTTGATTTTTTATTTAAGGGCAAATCTTCAAAATAGCACATTTCTAAGTTTATGTCACAAAATAGCCCTCAAAAACTAAAATAGCATTTTATCTTTTGAAAATTTTAATTTTATTTTATTTTTCAAAAATTGAAATCTTATCCCTAAAACCTCACTCCCCAACTCTAAACCTTAAAACCTAAATTCTAAACCCTAAAGCCTAAACTCTAAACCCTAAATCTCACCCTTAACTCTAAACCCTAATGTCTAAATTAATTTATCATTTGGATATAAATGTATATTTATCTTTTTTTGATAAAACATTAAGTATTATTTTGGTCATTTTTGTTCTTAAGTGTTATATTTGTGACAAAAGCTATTTTAGTGTTATTCTAGTCATTTTTTCTTTATTTAATGTATTCAATTTTTTTTCTTGTTTTTTAAAACCTCGAAAATTTTCTAAAAGTTATCTAATTCGTTTAGGATCGGACTTTGAAATATAGATCCACAATATTTGAGGATCAGACTATGCCAAATTTAATTATTAACGGGCTCTGTACGATGACTGATGGGCATTTCTTCAACCCATTTTCAAAATATAAACCAAAAGAGACGAAAATACCCCCGAAAGCCCTAGGCTCAAAAACCACTTAACTCGATTATAATTTTCACGACACAGCCGTTAACACACAAACAAGAAGACCAAAAAAAAAATGGTGTCAGGATCAGGGATCTGCTCGAAGCGCGTGGTCGTCGACGCGCGGCACCACATGCTCGGACGCCTTGCTTCCATCGTGGCCAAGGAGCTTCTGAATGGACAGAAGGTGGTCATTGTCCGATGCGAGGAGATTTGTCTCTCAGGTGGACTTGTGCGTCAGAAAATGAAGTACATGAGGTTCCTTAGGAAACGTATGAACACTAAGCCGTCTCATGGGCCTATTCACTTCCGTGCTCCTTCCAAGATCTTCTGGCGTACTGTTCGCGGGTTCGTGGAATCTGTCTAGGACTCTTGTTTTGTGTTAAATGTTTGATGTTTTAGTGAGTGTTTTGGTTTGTTGTAGTTAAGGTTTTGGTTTTGAAGTGATTAGAGCTGAGGGAATGTTTCTGAATCTGTTTAACTCTCTTGTTAGGTTTAAAGGTTAGAGCTTTAGTGAATGTTTTGGTTTGTTATAGTTAAGGTTTTGGTTTGTTATAGTTAAGGTTTTGGTTTTGAAGTGATTAGAGCTGAGGGAATGTTTCTGAATCTGTCTAGCTCTCCTGTATAGTTTAAAGGTTAGAGCTTTAGTGAATGTTTTGGTTTGTTATAGGTAAAGTTTTGGTTTTTTAAGTGATTAGGGCTGAGGGAATGTTTCTGAATCTGTCTAGCTCTCTTGTATAGTTTAAAGGTTAGAGCTTTAGTGAATGTTTTGGTTTGTTATAGGTAAAGTTTTGGTTTTTTAAGTGATTAGGGCTGAGGG